GGAGTTGTTGCACCATATGCAAGCTGGAGCGGTCGTGGATAGCCGTCAATACGGCTCACATGGTGGATGTATTTGACCGAGGACTGCGTATGGTAGGAGTTGGACTACACTAGATTGGTCTTCGTCGTTCGCAACTTCCGCGGCTCTGGAGTAGTAAATGCGAGGTGTGGATGGCGATGCTGGCCCACCAGGCCACAACGAGTAAACCGCTGAGAGCTGGAGGAGAAGACTGGAAACAGCAGCAATTTCTCGGATCTCGCATATACTCGTTGCGATCGGATCTCTGCTCTGGCCCTAATCCACTGAGATTAGGACGAGATAAACTTCAACTTCGGCTGTTCGAGCTTTTGAGTGGCCTTAGAGGCGTCACCTTAGAGCCCTGGAGTGGTAATGGTGAATGAAAAGCTATCACGTAGCCGTAATATAACTCCCATTGACAGGCTGATGCCTGTAGGAGTACCCCTATAGGTTACTGGTCCAGAACATCACTGGAGCTACTGCTTGCTTTTACTTGATCACCTCTTGGGAGAGGTCCAATCGCAATGCGGCTACCTTGGGTTGATCCCTTGGCTCTCATGTGGGGTCCATTCGCATGCATCTCGTTTCGTGGCTACGTTCCGTCTTGGCGTTTCCAGTTGGTGCGGGTATATGTTCTCTTCAGTTTGATGCTCTCTCTCTCGCTGTGAGCCTTCTCCCCAAAATGGATGTAGGAATGGATCTACTATTCCTCCATCCGAGAGATGGTGTCACCACTCTCGGTCAGCCCATTCCCGACGTGACCGTCAATGGTAGAGACTTTTCACAGCAGTGGGGACGCAGATCTCCTCTTGGTGTCACCGCGGCTATGAATGAGAAAACCATAGGGCTTCTTATGATACCGATATTGGTTCTCCTCGCTGCTATGCGTTCGTCTTCTCTGAAGAAAAATAGAAAAATTACAAATTTCACGAAGTCTCAGTCTTCTAAGAAGCACATCACAGCAGTCTGTGGCAGCGTCCAGGGCGACGGTCGGTCCCTTTGCCAAGCCAGCGACCGAGAGCTAGTCCTGAGGGTCCCTGCTGGCACCGAGGAAAAGCTTCAGCTCCATAGGGATGCGACGTTTCCCAATATGTCGGTTGTGGTTGAGGAAGGAGCCAGTCTAACGCTGAGAGAGTCTGTCGATGCCGGTGGTAGAACGCAGGTGTATCTCCAGGCTGGTGCGAGGTTGGATCACACGCTGCACCAAACGCGTGGTGACTGTTCGACGGTGGTTCGGCAAGATGGAGGGTCCAAGTACAATCAGACTAGACTGGTCATACCAGACTCGGACGGAGCGACGCATACGACCGACATCGAAGTGAACGGCCCTGACTGCGTTTCCGATGTTCACTCAGTGCACGTTGTGGCGCGCGAAGGAGTCCACACGGAGTCCGACTCCAACTGTAATTTCCTCTCGACAGGGACGAGAGCTCGGCAAACCCATAGAGCAGTAAGGCAGAGAAAGAGGCACTCGTCGACTATCATCATTGCGTTTAGGTGTTGTGTGGTCCGAAGAGTCGGAGCAGCTGGAAGTCCACGTTCATGGTCAACAAGATCGCACAACAGACAGATGCTAACCAGGAGTGCAAAGCCCTGCTCTTGGACCGCACTGCGAGGATGACGGCCCGTCCCGAGTTGAGGATCCAAGCTGACGACGTGAAAGTGACCCACGGCGCAGCTCTGTCGACTACGATTGACCCTAAGCAGGTTGGGGACTATTCGTTTGAGTGCTGCTCTCCTATGGTGTTGTTGTTTTCAGCTGTTTTATCTCACTTCTCGAGGAGTACCTCGTTCCCGTGCGCGATGGCTGTATGTGAACGGTTTCCTAGAAGATACCTTGACGAGGGTTGATGACCTCGAGGATCGCGAGTGGCTCCGAGAAAAAGTGGAGAAAGCCATTAATGACTTTGAGAAGTGAAAATTTCCGGCCGTGGCCCTCAGAGACTTTTTGTTGTCAATGAGTGTCATCCGCGGTCCTCTACTTATGCGCCTACAACAAGGCGAGATTCGTCCAAATGTGAATGTGTTGCAATTCGCGCGCTATCATTTCCAGTGGTGTCTCGTTCCATCCAAACTCGTGCGAAACCCTCTTCCATTCGATAGAGTTCAGGGCGCAGTCGCCTTCAAAGCGGTGTAGCTTCCACAACCCGGTTTGTATGGGAAAAAAGTGCGCCGGTTCTTTGACCTCTCCACTGAGCTTGTAACGGAGTGAACGAAAACGTAGAGATCGTCTTTCCCTCCCTTTATACATTTTGGAAAAGAAAATTATCGAGAGCTGATCTAAATCATTGAAACCATTGGAAGGCTCTACAAGTTTCTGATCTTATGGGCTCCGTACCCTCCCTATGTTCATGCTAAATGAATCAGATCAGCTCTGGTCAATTTTCTCGACGGGACTTTATGGAAATCATTCGCTGCTCGTGGTGCAGAGTATTCCTCCTACTCATCCGAGCTTTGCTCTGGCCTGGCACTTGATAAGTACAGAATCTTCTTTGAATTATGGACGGCCATGTCATCTTGTGCCTCACTGCCTTGCTAGCATCGTCATGTGGAGCCTCTGTCAGTCTGAGACGTGTGGTCTCCAGGGACCCGCCTAGGGTAACAATGAACTTCTACGATCCCAATACGGAGTCCGAGGTACAGTTATCAAGTCGTTTACGTTTATACTCTGTTTTTACGATAAATCGTCTGCAATGGTTGTCTTGTTACAAGCTCTTGCATTTTGTAGACTGTTATGGGTTATCGTGAGGGCTCAGAAAGCGAGGGCCTCCATGTTACTGACGTGGCGCAGATAACGCGTATAAGGTGAGGGTGAGCAGTAGGACCGTCCCACACTTTCGTTTTCTCAGAGAAAATAATCTCATCGAATTCTCTGTACTGGCTGATGGAATCATGTTGGGAGAACCCCGTCGCAAATCGAATGAAAGTTCCCCAGAAACGACACCGAGGAGTCCACCTTCACTGAAGTCTCTTCTTATGAGCCGCTTAAGCTCCCAGATTCTACACGAATACGACGAGAATGTCGAGAAAAGCAGCCCTCTGTACTGTGCGCAGCAGGCATTGGATGAAAGATATGATGAATTCGGAAGAAACGAGGTTCGAGTACGGGAAGTCTGACCCGCGCCTATGTGTTGGCTCTTCAGCTGGTAGTCCGCTACACAATTTACCTCAGCAGACAAAGCCCAGAACAGCCGTACCAGCTGAAGGCTCTGAAGGCGGAATTAGCTACGCTTGAGGACAAGTAAGTCAAACGATGCAACACCTGTCCTGACCGGCTACCAAGCAATGTTTGTTCCTCTCCAGAGTTGTCAAGCCAAAATTCAATGCAGAGAAGTTGCATGAGTTGGTTTCCAATAGCGAGATAGCTACTCCTCGTATGAAAGAGAGCTTCTCTGAAATATGCAGTAGACAGGTGGAGTTCTATAGCAACTACATCTCACCATTTGGAGGGGCTGTTGTCCCTGACGTCTGGCCCTACCCAGTTGAGTCGAGCTCCTACCCGTTGACAACTGGACAGCGGGCTGTTAATATTTTCCACTGGCTCACTGATGGTACCATGAAAGTGGCGTGATCGCGCTTGGAGTATGCAGTCATTCGGCATCGGTAAGTTTATCGTGTTTGGTTACTCGTGTGTGATCATAGTTGTTCATAAGATGTTGACCGATATTGCTGTATTAAATAACGAGTTGTTGGTATTGTGTTCGTGTGTAGTGTGAGCCCCATGCCGGCAACTGGATGATTCACAGTGGTTGAGCTAGCTACATCGTAACTTCCCTTGCTTCTGTCTTGAGTACGGTATGCTTGCGAATCGTGATCCTCTGGTCACAGACCGGCCGACAATTGCGGCCCACTACTTCCCAGGCAAGTTTAACAAGTGAACACACAAGAATGACAATGAGTATCCAAGCTCGACACACCCAAGAATGACAATGCCCACTTCAAGAATGACACGTTGCGGAAATATAACGTTCATCCCCAGAATGGACGGAATTTGACTAACATCGGTGGAGGGTGCGTTGAAGCACTGTCCGTTGCTTCCTGCCAAACTTGAACATATACTATCGAACTTGCTTGTTCGTCGTCTAACGTGATGACAGAGATGGATCGTCAGAGACCTTCTGTCGTTCACACCCCAACGTTTTCTTTCGTAACTCAACAACAACAATTCGTGATGAGAGAACACCTTATTGGCCGTTGGAAGCATCCTTCGGCTGATGTACATGGACGAAAGTCGGGAATGTTCTTTGGTGGTAGTCCTCGAGGACAGCTCGCAACCTAACAGAAGTATATACCAACTTACGCCATGCTGACAATGCACTTCTGTATCTCCCTCGCTTGGATGCGTGCCATGTCCATTTGCTCCCGGTGGACTCTACTCTCGGCAAATCGAGCATGGGCTTCTTTAACCTCTCTATAATTCTCTTCGATACGGCCCCCACCTCCAATGGGGATACGCTTCTCTCCAGGGCGATACCTGCCGAGCACATGTGATGAGAGCGGACCGAAGATCGCATTCTTACACTGTACTGCTTTCAGCACTCTCGTTGTTGCGCGAGTCTCCGAGATCTCTGATCTCCTCGCGTTCCGCTACTACTTCACGAAGATCGTCAAGCTTCCGTTCGAATTTCTAAGGCGAATATTCGCCCCGCGGGATAGAGTAGACAGATAGGTTACCGCATTTTCTCTACGCCTCGCTTCACTTCTCTTCTTCGCGAGCTCCAACTGAAAATCATAAGACGTTCGAATGGACCCCATTCGCTTCTGCCGGTATAAGTGAACTAGAATATCATCTTGTGAACTTCCACGAATATTAACTCCAGAGGCTCGAACGGAAGAGCTAGACCTGATTGCTTCGGACACCTCACCTCCTTGGCCAGTGCTGCTTCCTTATCCATACCACTCTTCTCAATTCTTTCTATAAGTTTCCTCATGGCGATCTCCACTTCCTTTCCTCCCTGTCTTTCGCTCGGCTTCTTGTTCGATTCTGCACAATCAGACTGCTTCGCACTGAAGGGCGATGAGGCCACCGCTACCCGAGAGAGCTGTCCTGAGGTCCTTGGTAACCCGCATCATTTGAATGTCTCTAGAGTGCTCCTCGAGGTCCTGAAGGGCAGAGGCCAATACGTGCATCCTCCCATCGAATCACCTCTCTCTCCAACTTGAGCACCGCTTGTTCCCATTCCACTTGCTTCAGTTTCTTTCGGAATTCCTTAATCTTATGCAAAACTGCCAACTTCTCCTCAGCAAGTGTCATGATGTGCCTGAGCTCGGCAACTGCTGAGCCTCCTAAGTAGTCCTACCTGTTGCGTGTTTCAATCGTTTCCTCCGCTGGCACAATAATAGCATCGGTGCAATCCGTAACAACCGGACCCTCTGGCATGTTGATCAGTCCCTAGGCCACCCCCCGGATGGTGAGTATGATAACGGTAGTGCCCCTCTCCCACCTGTTTAATCATCATAATAACCGCAGTGTCAAACTTCTCCTCGAGCATGTCCCTCTTGCGGCACCCCAGCTGCTCCAAAAGAGCCTTCTCATCCGAGAGAGCTTTCTCCCATCTACCAGAGGCACCCATGAGGCCTCTCGGCTAGTGGCCGCTACTACCGTTGTCGATGGTGCCACAGACGCCTATTGGCAATATCGATCAAGGCATTCATCCGCCGTACGTCGAGGTCTAGTCGGCATCTACGTAACAGATCGACCCTCGAAGGAAACAATGGAAACATCTCATGCCTTTCCTGGCGAAGTATCATAGCACGATCGAAGAGCTCCTCGTCGATCTCCTCTGGGCAATCCTCTGCATACTTGAAAGTAGCAATCTGAGAAGTGGACCGCTGCTCTCATATGTCGGTCTGAGTACTACATCGTTGATGCTTGGCGTCTGGAGTTCATAATCGTCCATAGTATCCACGTAGTAGTAGTAGGAGGATGGTGCTAGACACGACTAGAACTCACGCTTAGGTGTGGATACTACCTTCACTGACCGCTGGTACACTGCCGGCCAGTACGCGAGAGGGTTGGCGAGTGAATAGGTTGTGGGACATCTACAAGGGGAACCATTAGGGAACCAAGGCGTGCAGCAGCTTACATGGGCCCTTCCGTGGGCTTTCCTGTTACTACCATCCTAAACGAGTAATGGTGACCTGGTGCCTTGTAAGATCCTGCTTACTTTACTGCCGTCCTCTCCAGGTAGTGTCGTCCGGAAGAGCACCAAGAGCTGGTTGAAGGCCTCAGTGTCGATGCCTATGTACACAACTCGTGCCCCCATAAAGGGGCCCCCCTACCCGTCTTGGCTGTAGAGAACTGTTGCTTAAATAAGGACACCTTCAAGAAAGGGTAATGGCATCGCATAGATGGTCACGAGCAAACCCACACAGTCCCGCTCCTGTCTGACTATCTCATCCGCCTCCCGTTCAAGCTCACGAACCACCAGGCTGAAATCATCAAACTCAGCTCGGCATTCAGCGACCTGACTCAAAGAGTCGCGACCTCCGCAGTGAGAATAGAAGGTGGACCTTTTTCCGGACTTCGGCGATTTTCAAGTTGAGCCTCTCCACTGCTGACTTATCCTCCACAGACTGCCGTAACGCTAACCTATTCTGGAGGACCAGGAGCTCCTGGGTGTGGCTGAAATGATGAGGGAGTTCCCCCACGGGCCCACGGAATGCCTTACATCTTCAAGTCAGTCTCTACCCTAGCCCGATAGAGCTTTTTCAGGAGGCCATCATCAAAGGCAGCCACCTCCTTTTTAATCTCAGCTTTCAGCTGACCGAGCTCCTCTGCCAGTCTCGTCCGATAAGCCTCCTGGAACCACACAGTATATGTAGTACCGCTGGCGGCGCCCTCTCACTTGCTCCTCAGCTAGAGTCTTCTCTCTGGCGAGTTGCTCGGCAAATGCAGCCTAGACAAGCACAGCAATCTCCATTGGGCAGTAGAGGATGGTGTCACCACCTTTTGGTCCTCATCCATCTCTTCTTCTGGTACTATGTCCATCCACTCCTCCCTGTCCAGTCGGATCTATGGTTGACCTGTCCTCTAGCGCCTAGTAGTAGTACCTCTAGCGGGCTTAGGTCCTTCTTGGTCCTCAGAGTGCCTCCCATCATAGTAATCAGCGCCTTCTGCCGACCCCCGTCGTCCTCCTGCAGCTTCCGAAGGCGTTCGGCCTCCGCAGCGGCCTCAGCATCCTGTTGAGGGCCACCAAAGCCTTGCAGCACTTCACCCCAGACCATGCCCACCAGTCTCGCGCGCTCCTCCTTGCTGATCCATTTCTCAGCATGAATCTCCCTGTCCAGGACCTCGAGGACAGACTCGGGGTTCTGAAGCATTAAAAACGTCACTGCGCCACGAAACTCCCGCAAGCAACAGAGCGCCCATCACCTCATCGGTCTCGAGGTGCCGAGCTGCGGGATCCATCGGAGGGTCCTCATCCGACTTCAGCTCCTTGAGGATGGCGTGAATGCGGTGAACTAGTTCCGATATGTGCTACGACGTTCGAGGGAAACATCACCCTCTACTGGCTCACCGAGGCTACCTCGACCGCTTTAGCCCTTTCGTCCTTCACTTCTTCGAATGCCTTATTGAAGGCCCTCTTGTATTCCATGGACACCTCCTCTAGCAGACTGGCCTGTATCCTGCCACACTAGGACGGTGCCGATCGAGGAACCGGCTTTAGTGGAGATACTAGAGTAGTAGGAGCTTACCAACTACATGCTAATTTCGCTCGGGCGCTCGCTGTCGTTCGGTCATATGTCAATACCCCAATAGTACCTCTTGCGTGGACTGCTGACGAGCTCCATCGGGTGATATAGGAAATCAACACAGGTCCTATTCAAGGCCGGGAAGCAGGGACGAGCAAGGCCAGGGTCCTTAGAGAGAGACCCGCCGGCTGAGCTCGCTGTCCTCTCCATCACTGAAGTGTCAGCAACTGAAACCCCTACTGGGAAAAAGCTCAAGGCTCACCGCCTTGCGAGTCCGCCTCTGATGGCTTCCCGGTCTCTTCGACTGCCCCAGAGGACTCCGCAGTCCCTAAACGACGACCTTGCTGAGACAGCACGTAGA